CAGATTTGATTTATAAGTGCACTGGCGTTGTTTCACTTTTAGGTGGTATAGGTCACAATACTTCATCCTTCAATTGCTGGATTAAGTACAAGGTAAAGTGACATGCTCAGTTTAAATTATTCTGATTGTAACAGCCTTCTAGGAACTGAACAACAGATCTCAGTGTGATTTGGTTCTAATCAGTAATACAAAAACACTCCTGATTATTTTTATTTTTCTAGTAATTGACTACAGATTTCTCAAGTCAGTATAATTTCTTAGTTTTCTTTCCTCTAGTACCTCAATTAGGAAAAAAAAATAATCACAAAAGTACTTTCATTTTTACAAACTTTAGTTTTAATCTTCGTTTATCAGTAAAAATTTATAATATTACTTCAGGATGAAGCATTAAGTGATAAGTCTGCACAGAGAGACTTGGTTTTTTAACTTGGCTATGTGCATTCAATGGACTGAGGGTGGATTTCTTAGTCACCCCAATATCAAATAGATTTATGATATTGAGGCAGGGTGTCTTCAGGCTTCTCTCATTAGCTATTACTGCTTGTTCCTTCTTGTTCCAGAGGGACAAGAAACATTGTTATCACTCAAAGTAGGAGGAACCCTCTGTGTATATATATATATAATCATATGTATATACATATACACACACATACACAGGTATATATAGGGAGGGAGGAAGGGATGGAAGAAGAGAGAGAGTCTCCTAGTTAAATGGAAATTTAAAATCTAATGTTCACCGTTATATGTGCCAGCCAGAAAAAGTACCAGGGGGAAAGAAATAAACAGCGTAGACAGTAGCAAAGTGAAATTACTTTTTCCAAAGTAAACTTATTTTAAACTAACAGTTATTAAATAGAAGGCTTTTTTTTTTTTTTTTTTCCAAATTGCCTTTACTCTGGGACTCTAGTAATTTCCATTTAGTAAATCCTCATTCCTAAGTGCCTGCCAATAACCTCTGCATAAACATGCAAGCATCCACATTTCTTAACTTCATGACAGTTAAAAAGCATTTTTATGAATATTTACGAAGGCAGTAAATTATTAAGATAAATATAGATATTTACACATTAGAACAACATCTTCATTTAATGGTTGTGGAAAAATGTTAATATGTGAACATTTTAGAGATGAAGTGGTTCGGCCTTCAGGGCTTTTGTTACTCTATTAAAAGTTAATTTAGGACAGAAATTATGGCTTTTTCTTGAATCTCAACCCCAAGAGATTAAATCTTGATCAACACACAACATTTTCAAAAAAATGAATCCAGTTATGGTATTTCCAGAGGCTGCATATTGAAACGACTGTGCAGTTCTCCCTGAAAGAAAGCTCCTCTGGATTCTTTAATGTGTTCCTTTATGTGGTGACATACACTCAGATGGACTTTAGGGCAGAGAAGCTAGGTGCTAGTGAGGTACTATTCATCAGTCTTTCTGTCAACACACATTTTACATTATTGGAAAAGGATGTTTCTTTCTACAACCACAGCAGGCAACTCAAGTTGCTCTTTCTCAAGGTGGGGTTCTGCAGCACACAAGCCATTTGCTTAATCACTAGTAATAAATTTCAGCATTTTTTCCCACATTTATATATCCTCTTGATTCAAGGTCATCAGGGAGTCTGTTCTGACCTCCTGTATATACTTGGCTCCTGAAGTTCACTTGTGATCCCAATAACCTGAGTTCCACCAAACTACAAATTTCCTTCCAGCCTTCGCCATATTATCATTTTCTCCCACTTTTAATATTAATTTTATAATAGACTAGAGAATCTTGCTCTCTTACTGATCTTAACAGCGCTGTGCCAATGGTAAAACCCCCTTCTAAACCTTCACTCTGATTTACAGCTACATTAATATTTTCTTTTCGCTTTTTTTCATCACAGCAAGATAAGCTCTACTTGTTTGGTGGTGTTTTTTTTCTTCTCCCAGAATCAACACTCTTTTTGATACTTTATCCTGCTGTAAAGGTAGGGTCCACTTTGAAGCTCTGAACCCTGTTTGCTGTTTTCAGTGTGTCTGAAGATAGGAGAGCTGGGCCCAGGCTGAAAGTAGAAGCTCCAAATTATTTTCAGCCTTCATCCTCCCCCAAATTTTGCATCCTATCTAATATCCATAAAATACCAAACTAGATCTCTACAGGAAAAATATTATCCGCAATACAATAATTTTCCAAATATTCAAATTTCCATCACTTGGGCTTATTTCTATAAATTATCCCCTGGTACATCAAGCTGTTTTCCACTGGCACATAATTCTTTCTGTTAATGTGATGTGAAGACTAAAGAAATGTTGTTCAGTTTTCATGGCAAGTTTGTTGCCAGCAGCAGTGTATTATTTCTTTCAGGCTTTTTTGAATAGACTCAGTATGGAGAGAAAGAATAGTCAAGACTTAAAAAAGAACCCAAATTAAAAGCACAAAAGGGGAAAACAGGAAAAACACATGAAAAACAGCAGTTGTTGATGGCAGTAAAAAATGAGAGGTAAAAAGCATATCCATGCGAGGGAAAATGCAAAGCTGAAAAATACAGACACGGCTAGAAAGTCTGTTATGAAGATGAAACCTTGGTCCATGATCTGTAAAATTAAGACACAAATCCAGAATGAGGTATTTTTATAATACAAATCAATAATAAGAAATTAAAAAACATTAAAATGTGAAAAATAAAAATTAATACAGAAATTAGAAAGAAAAACCAGTAAATACACACACATATATATTTATATATACATAGATATAGTGACAGCTCTGTTGGCATTCTGTTTTAATGTGATGTAAAACCAAGCACATGGAAGTCATGAGATAAGGAAAACAGGCTGAGAAAAGCATTTGCTGAAACAGAAACAGGAGATTCAGTAAGTACAGAAACCTAAACATTAGGGGGAAATAGGATACAAAGAGTGGATTCAGTGGTAAGATACTGGGCCCACATAAACCGGGAGGACTTACTTTTTAAGGCAACCTTTCTCTTTCACTTAAAATATTCCTGGTGAAACAAGAATCAATTTCTGGTGTCTCCTTACATATCTTCTCATACTTCCAATAGCTTACAAGTATTTTACAACTAAAGAGACGAGTTATATTCTTAAAAAAACCCAAACAAAACAGTTTACAAACTCAGAAAGAAGATACAACAAATAAATGGCAAATTTCCTACCTGGGTAAACAGACCACAAAAAGTAAGCTTGGAGAGTTGCATTTTTTGCTCAGATCCTGAGAGTGCATTCAAAGTCAATCTCCTGACTACACTTTGCTTCATATTGTGTAACAGACTCTGGACATGCAAAATGGATTCTTTTGAAACAGCAGAGCAGTGCCAGAAGAGTTGCTAACACACCTCAGCTACCACTCAGCACTTACTTCTTGGGACCAGCCAACGCAATCTAAAAGTTGCCAAGATGTTCTCTGTCCTCAGCACCACTTGTTTTTCCCTGCTCCTTCAGGCTGCACAACTTGCTAATTTAGACAGAGTAAGTGCTTAGAGGAACACAAATTAAATTGGTAAAAAGCCCACCTCATGGACACTGTAGATAGTGCTATTACAACAAACTGCATCTTTGTCAAATTCCTACTATATGACCCCAATTGCTGGTTCATTGTTTTTGACAGTGGTGAAATGCAGCATAAGAGCTATTGGTGGAAATGATGCACAACAGCCAAGTTCCAACAATGATAAATTACCTGTCACCAGTGTAATTAGATTGCATCTAAATAATTTAAATAAACAGCTAACACTACTCAGTTGAAAATGGCATTTTTCTTGAGAGAAATATTTTTCTTATAGAAAAAAAAAATATCAAGTTGTTATTTTCTGAACCTGTGTCCTGATTGTGCTTTCTGTGGCCAACAGAGAAGATCCTGATTCTTTTAATTATAAGATCCGGAGTTACTGTTCTATTATAATTGCTTTTGTGAATTGGGAATGAATTATTTAAATATTTATTGGGCTAGTGTATTTCTGAAAGGTAAACCAGCATTTTTGCTTATAAAGTATCTGCAACAGAAGGCAATTGTTGACATTTAGAGTTTAAATGTGGTTTATATGTTGAGTCTATTATGTCTTAATGTACAAGTGGACTACTGAGCTTCATCTCTGGGCTCTCAGTCAACACTGGAGTCTGAGGAGAAAGAGCAGATGCACACATACCCACATATACCCCTCCCCACACATCGCTGCAACCAAAGAAAGGACGGAGTGGAAGAAAAACATGGTTCTCATTCTGAACTGGTGATAACCCACTCACAGAGCAGGAATCCTTAGTGATTTTACAGGAGTGACTGACCATTACTGGCAGGGGGGATAAATGCCTGTGTCTCAGGGTACCCCATTTACACATTTTACAGAGCTGAAACACCACAGAAGTGCTCTTTTCCAATTCCCAGTCCATTTCTTCCCTCTGAGCTGGTAAGGATGGAAGAAAGTACCAAGGCATCAAGAGCATCTTCTCGACAGAGCAAGGTTATATTAGGTCATTATTAAATCAAGTTGTGATCTCATTCTTAAACCATAAACAACAACATTAATCCTCCTGTAGCATACAGTACTGGTTACTGCCTCTCCATCTCCATGCTGACAGTAGCACATCCCCAGCAAGGCCCAAGTGCTGAGCTTCAAGACACCCCAGCAGGGCTGGAAAGCCCTTCAGAAGCACACACTGTGCTCTGCCTCCTCACAGCACCTTCAAAACACAGCCAGAGCGTGAGTGCTACAGACAAGCCAGCAGAAACAGAAGACATTTTTAGCAGAACCAGATCCAACTATTCCTGATCTTAGTGCACCTAGTGAAAATATGGCATGCTGCTGGGGCACTGTAGCGTATGCAGCTAATTAAGCAACTGTAACACATCAAAGGCACTGCAGATTGAGGTGAGTAGTATTAAGGAAGAATCTGAGTGCCAATACATCCTAACTTACTGGAACAGAATGGGAACGTCTTTGTTTTTGCTGTTTTGAAACTGAAACCCAAAATAATTCACCTGAAGCGCAACAAGCATTTGACTAACCTTATAAAGCAAAGGTGATTGTCCCAGCTTCAAAAGTGCAATTTTTTTGGTCACATTTGTAATGGCTTGAATCCGGATCAAGTCTTCCACAGTCCCATACTGCACATCAACAAGCTCAGCCTGCAAAGAGAAGACAAAGTTCAGGCTATACCTATAACCATGAATCACTGAGAGTGCTGCTTCCACAGAAACCAAGTTGTTTGTGCCTGAGCAGAGTTCTGCAATTAGCTTATCTCCACTTCCTAATCCTTATCAATACACAGGAATACCTGTAACAACAACGAGCTTGAGAATTCAACCTGACAGAGAAATTTGTATCTTTGCTGCTTTCATTCATAATTCATTAGCTGTGATAAAAACCCCATTTTTTTTTGGTAGTGCTGATTCTGATGAGAACTACCCCTCATTAGTTACAGGAACATATTTAAAGCAATGTCAGGGACACTAACTCACCTCTGTTAATTTTCTTAAAAGGAATCAGTCTTGTAAAGCATTTCAGAAAACGAGAGAATGATTATCACAGTCACTTATGAACATGAACAGATAAAACATACTCTACCAATATAGCGTTATTATGTGGTCTCATGTAATTCCTGAGTAGCCTCCCTTAACTATTGAAGTATTTTCATAAAATCATTGGCTATCCAAGCCTTATACTCAGATAACCAAAGCAGTAACAGACTACACTGCTCTGACACATACATTCATCAATTAATACATATTTTTAAATTATTTAGAGTCACATCCAAGTAAATGAAAGGTGTTTAGACCATGAAGATCTTCTAGTTAGAACAAAGAAGAAGGGTTAAGTTATTGTTAAATATCAAGCATTGGCACTGATACTTCAGGGATTTAAAAATAAAATAATAATAAAAAATAAGTTAAGAATAACCAAAGGCATTTTTGTCACACATTTATAGGAATACATTTTGGTGAAGACCAAGTATGACAATAATCAGTCTTATATATTGTTATTATAGAATGTTAATGATCTCTAAGGACACCATAAGGACACTGTGGAACCTCTAAATCCCTACAGAGTATTCACATAAAACACAAATATAAGAAGAAACAATAACAAATAACATTGGGTGAGTGTTCAACATTAAAATCAGAGGAGCAGTACAAGATGGAAAAGTTTCTCCTTCAGTTCCATTTTGGTAATTAACTATGGATTCATTGCCAAAGGCAACAGTTCTGATTTTAGGCATGTGCAGCAATTCTAGCAATAGTTGCTCTGGATATGTAGGTTATATGAAATTTTACTGGATTCCTGAACATGCTTATTTTAGGAAATAATTTACCCTTCTATAACTGTACTTGAATTTCTTGTCTGAGTTTTCACCTAAATATTTAAGGTGAAATATTTTGAAAAAAAATAAGTTGCCAAGGTTCTTGTCGTCTTAAATGTATTGTTTTAAATTTTCAAGTCAATAAGTTTCTATGTCTATAATATGTCATCAGTGCTGTAAAAGCCAAGCACTTAGAAAGGTCAGCCAAAGTTATAAAACAGTTCTGGAAGAGGCAAATATCAGACTTCCCACCAAATCCTGAAATCTAGGAAGAGAAAATACCGCCCTTCATACAGTTTCTTCTGAAATATGTGGGGGTCTTAATATCTAACAAACTTTAAAACTATTGCTTAAGAAAATTAAAGTGACTACAGGCTGAAGTCCCATATCATTTTTTCCCTGTACAATATCATATTTGGCAAGTATAATAAAAACAAGTGAAGCTTTTATACTACCAAAAGGTATTTTTTATTTTATATAATCGGATGTCTCTGTTTATAAAGAGTTCACCTCACATGAAGAAAGGGTATTAACAAGTGTGCCTCCTTGAAGTTCATACAAATTTTGCCTCATTCTATAGAACTCAGCTTTATTTTAATTTATACCTAGAGAAGTGTCAATAGATACACTTTAGTGCAATAATTATTAGTCTCAAAAGTCTTATGTCTTGAGAAGTTATATCTAGGCTGATTTCTGGGGACACCTCTAATGTAATTCCTGTGAATCCAATGCCTTTCCCACTTACCCTCAAGCAAACTAAAAAATCAGAGCTTTCACCATTCGTATGAGAGACACTACACTGAATTTTCCTGAGGCAAAATCAATACACAAAGATATAACATAATAAAGTATCAAAGCATTTGTTTTCACAGTAGGGCTGTGTGCAAATGAGACCCCTGCCCATCTATGCTTATGTGCTGCAGCTCTTCACATGGTTTGTGCTAGCTGCTCCTCCAGGGTGCTCTTCACCACCCTGTGAACAACAAAACTACATGTTTGCACAATTATTGATGCATTTAGCAACTGCTCTTAGATGTTCTTAGTTAAAGATGCAAACTGCACCTTCAAGTGCTGCTCACCAATCTGTCCCAGGCAACTTAGGAGCTCAACAGGAGCAAGGCTGAATAAAAGCCTTACAAAAGGGCACCTCATTTTTTCAATTATGTGAGAACCAGAACTTGACTCCCTGCTGCCCCAAACACTGAGCAAACCACATTCTTTGCTCCAAACATTAAAAGAAAGCTCCAATGCCAAAGCTATTGAATACATTCATACATTGAGAGGACATGTAAGAAGTAATTACATAATGAAAAAGCAGCTGGGTATAATATAACAGAGTTACACATGCTCTCATAACACATCCTCCACATGAAGGGCATGTGAAAGCTCAATATGTTAGAAGTTTTTCTTTTGCACTTGCCCAAAAATAAGTATGACATAAGCTTCTTGTTACTTCCCAACTGTAAAGGCACTTGCACACTTTATGTTTCACTGTACCTTTTAAGTAGTTCTTATCACAAATCTTTAACTCTTAATTTTACCTTTTTGGGAACTGTGGGTAAAAATATTGCAAAATAAGTCATCACATCCTGATAACATCACATACAGCCTAGAAGCTGGAGGTCTGCACAGCTCAACTTGCATCTCACTTCAGTTAAAATGACAAAAAAATGGAATGAAATCTTCTCAAGTAAAAACTACAGGTGCCTCCTCCCACTCCCACTGGAAATGTTCAGAACAAAGTCTAAACATTTTGGCAGTACAGTCCAGAAACTGACAGGTAAACATTATACTATAAAAAAGTTCTAAAAATTATTTCAAGCCCCTCCTTCCTTCTACACTTAAATACTCCAGTAAAATTTGTAATAAAAAGCAAAATATTTAGCACTACTTAGTAACAACATCTCAACAAACACAGTACAGCAAGAACAGCTCAGAATAGCCAGTTTTGTTTTTACTTTATACACAGGAGCTCAGCTACTTGGAATGTTTTAGTAGAAAATAATGAAAAAATATACCTTTAAAAGAGTAGTACACAGTCAACAATCCACTGAGAAATTAACAGTACATTTATGCTTCATTAAGTCCTATTTTAGTCACAACATTCCTAACACCTGCAAAAAATTGACTTTTTCTTCTATTCTTTTTTAGAAATGCTTACATGACATAATCCTCATTTTACACATTCCAGATTAAAAAAACACAAAAACACAATAATATCCCTTCCCCCAATTACCCACATTTCATAAACTGCTTTCCTTTGGTAGGATAATTCTGTTCTAAAACAAACGAGAACTCATCCTTTTATCAGGTGCTGAAAAAGAGCACTTGGGTATTTGGTTTAGAGAAGCAAGAGTAAATCCTCTTACCCTGAAACTGGGAAACTGCTAAAGAATGAATTGTTTTATCCAGTTGAATTAGGTCCTTACTGTTTGAATTGTTTCATGCTATGCTGTCTGAAAGATATGACTATTTAGGAACAAATTGCAATGTGCAATATGGACTTCAGTAGTAATCCCTCGTGCATGAAATGAAGTAGGGGAGTTAATAAACCAAACATTTTTAGGAAAAGTAATTATTTTATGTTAGACTTAGTATTAGTTTCTTAAGTCTCAGGATGACGCTTAGTGAGTTGCAAACATTCTATCTTAAAAACTATGATAAAATCTCCGCATCACAAAAGAGACAAGCACTCTGAAAAGGTCACAATCAAGACAGTGAAGCATCTTTTTCCAATTTCTTCTATTTATCTACAAAAGAAAAGATAATAAAACAGCATGCTTCATCCATTCATGGATAAAAAAGAGTAAGACAGGTCTTGCAAAGGAAAAGTGTGAATAACTGCGTGGAGCAGACAGCAGCTGGGGTCCTGAGGGCACTGGATACTATTTAAACTTTGCTTTCTTTGCAGATGCTGAGGTAATTAAAAAAAAAAAAAAAAAAAAAAAACAGCATTATACATCTGCTTCCAATGCAATGGCTAAGAGGCAGATTGTGGCTAGTTTGCCAGGGGTGCACAAGACAGGAAAAAAGGTTAAGGGCAAGACCCACAGATAAAACAAAACACTTTAAAGTCAGGACACCCAGGAAGGGATGTTTCTCACAACCATCAGGAAGCAGATGGATTCAGTGCAGTTAAGAACGCAGCTTCTTAAATGCATCTGCTCCAGTTATCAAGGCTGGGATTCCCAGGGTAGAAAAGCAGCACACCTAAGCAAATAATTTTACTAATATTTATTAAGAGAATATATTAAATTCAGTATGGAACAATCTCACAGAAATCTTAGCTGAAAGGTGTAAATTTATGCAGAGAATGAAGCAAAAGCAGAATACAGAATGGCTGTGGTGAAAAATCTTCACTTCTTAATGTTACCTGTTTTTAGTGCCACACTTTAGTAAACTCAAATTATGAATATATTTTATCAAATACCAATCTCTTGGCTCATATTGATGAACAGCTTCTACACAAATTGTTTCAGAGCTCAGGACTGAAGATGCTGCTATGAAAATGGGTAATATTTAGTAATGTAGTCAAGCTCATATCTGTGACAGTGCTGACCTATCCACCAGAACAGAAAATCCTACAGTTTTCTAGAGAAACTCCAAGTACTGAGAAAAACTAAATATCAAATGCTATGTATACAATATATTTAGGCTTGCTCATTCCTCAAGATTAAGAAAATTTATCCAAAAGGCACATATATAATTGCAGGAGTATCAACACCTCAGTTCTGTAACAGTTCAGGCGTACTACATCCCCTTCTTCTTACATTTCAGTCAATGCCCTTTATTTGTATTTATTCAGCTACTATTTTCAGGTTGTTCACA